TGGCTGCTCCAGATGTCCAAAATGAAGTCCAAAGCTACCTGCAGCACTGCCTTCCACAGCTCTTCCCTCAAGTGCCTCATACAGGGAAGGCACCACCATCCTGCTAAAGGTGGTGCATGTGAGCACTTGGTAGGATGGGGCCACGAGCACCATGAGCCACATGAACCCTGGATGCTCAAAAAAAGAGAAGGGCTGCCCATCAACAGCAATCACATCCGCAATGCTCTGGGTGACCTCGCTTGCCTTGGGAACATGTTCCCCTTTGTCTCTGCCTTTCTCCCACTGGTCCATGGTGGCCTGCCTTTGCTTCTTGGGGCAGGGGCTTTGGAGTGAGACAGGGAGTTCTTTTTGGGCACTCTCCCATTGGTACCAGGCTGAGGAGGAACAAGGGCAAGGTGGGTACTGCCTCCTGAGATGCAGCAGCATTTCCGTGGTGGTGAAATGTTTCACCACCTTGCCCCAGATGATCTGCTTTCAGCAGTGCTGGCAGGTAGCATACCTGTGATCATCTGCCACATCAGAATTATCCCACACTACACTATCCACCCATTTCTGGGTTGAGGGTGTGGATCCTGTCTTATTTCTCTCCTCACCAGGCAGAAGCCAAACAACAGGAGGAGCTGAGCTACGTGCCTCCACAACCTCCTCCAAAGTGCCTTCCAGAGAAGGAGACCTGCCTCTAGGGGAACTTTGTGGGGTGTGGAGCACAAACTCAGATTACCCCTGTTTCCCCAGAATTTCCTTAGCTATGGCACTCAGCTCCACTGCTTACAGAGCCAGCGTCTCCTCTGACACTGGAAGGCTCATGCTGAAAACTGAAATTGGGGTGGAGACTGTCATGCTGGTGCTGGTGGTTATTACTGGTGTTAGTGGAGATGGTGCAGGTGCAAACCCTGCTCCCACCTCCTTGCTCCCACTAGCAGCAAAAGACTCATAGCTGCCAGGAAAGAGTGTGCATCTATGTTTGGGTGGGGTGGGGTGGGGTGGGGAGGGGACTTGCAGCTCTTCCCCTGCCCCCTCTCCCTGGCCTGCCAGAAGACCTGGCACCTGCCTTTCCATCATGCCTCATAATGTTTGGTGTGCTGCAAATTGTGTATGTGTCTGTAATATATGTTGTGCTTTCCTGCACAGTGATAACACACTGTCAGGGAAAACACAGAAGAGAGACTAGCTTGCTACCAAGAGACTAGTTAGGAAGCCTTTCAGATGCTGCTGGTCTAAGAGACACAGCCCAAAAAAGGCACAAATCACTTTACATACAGCCTTATATGTTGTTTCTATGTCCCTCACCCAGAGCACTGTGTTTGGAAGGGAACTCAGGGACAGATCACAGTCACTGACCAGCTACAGATGTCAATATCAGAGCAGTCTTTCCCCGCTCCTCCCCCTCCCTCTTCTCAGTTTCTGTTTCCTGCAAGCCTGCCTTCTGAATTTCCAAATCTTTCCAAATCTTTTCTGAATTGAATTGGAGGCTTCAAATATTCAGATTTGGAGATTCAGATGCAGAGATTCAGCCGCCAAATGGGGCCAAATCTCCTCCAAATTGAATCAGCTACTGACGTTTCACACAGCCCTAATCAATTGTAACACACCACATGTTTAAGCAATTTATCACCCAAAAATGAGCCACAAAATGGTGATTCAGCCTCAGATATGCTACTTGTTAAATGTAGAATATCTTTGCAGCTGATTTGCATTGTACTTTAGTTTGAACATGTGGCACGTTACATATATGGTGATAGTGTTTGGCCTGGTCCTCCAGCATGTCAGAATGGAGTACTCACTCCCCCTCTACACTTCCTGCAAGTGAACTCCCTGTGACTCATGCTGAACTCTGTTGCCCTATAATGTGTCAGCAGGAGATGCGATAACTCATTTCCTCTCTTCCTTTTTCCCAGCCAGTCTTCAAGGCTTCTTCTATAAGGAACCATTTAGGACCTCTTCCCTATGACAGCCAGTGTGTGTAAACAAACACTCAATATGCTTTATTTCCACATATAGGAATCTGAGAGAAGCACAGTGTAGTGGGGCCTGGGCAGAAGGGTCACACTGGGGTGGGTTTGGGTGCCACACTCTCAGTGGGTGTTTAGCCCTTCTTTCTCATCCACCACACCTTGCTGGTAATGAAAAGGATATCAGGAAGTGGTACCTGACCATAGTGGTGGGACACTGAGATGGGCGCAGGTCTTACTGTCTGAGCACCTCCTGTGGGGCTTTGTCTACCCTTCACCTCACCCCTGTTCACTTGGATGTTCTGGTGATGGTATTGGTGTGTCTGTCTTCATGTAACAGAAGAAAGACCTGACTCAGAAAGAAAAAAAAATGATCTGGGACCTATGTGGGCTGAGCCCTTTACTCTGGTGAAGGTTTACTGCCAATGATGTCCATACCACATCATAATTAATAGTCATATAATATAAATAATCATGTCTGTTGTCTATTCATGGGCCTAGATTCAGCCTTACAGTGTTTGTCTCCCTTCCCTTCAGGCAGCCAAGGCTTTTTGGGGTTCACCCCCAGGCACAAGCCTGATTCTCAAGCCTGTATTGAGCCAACCCCTGTGTGTAATTTGGGGCCATGGGCACTATGAACCCCTGTAGGGCCCTTGCAGGTACTTGGAATCCAGTGTCCACAGAGTGGTCAGGTTCTTGCCATGAAAGCCAGAGCCAGCCTGGCCTCTGATGAGATGCCCTTGGCTCCGGTGGAGGGAAGCAGTGTAGTCCTGTGCTTACATCAGTGCCTCCCCATTCCTGGGGCTGGCACTGCCCTATAAGGGGAGTTCTGGGTTAACCTAAGCCAACCCAAACTCCTGTATGCCTCCACATGCCCTGTGGCCACTTCCAGATGCTGAAAGCCCCTGTGGGGCTAATAATTGTTTGCAGCTGTGGCCGCCAGGCTCTAAATGGAGCTGGGCATGCTACCCATTCATTCTTGGCCCCATAGAGGCTCTGAGTTCAAGTGGAGCACAGCTTTCTGATTTCAGCCCTGCCTGTGGGACAGGTGTGTCGGGAATCTGTCTGCCTCTCCTTCCCTGCCTTGCCCAGGTATGCTGCCTGCCCATGGGCCCATCACCTGCCTTAGGGACAGCCCAGGATCTCATGGACTGTGCAGTACCCCAGCAATCATCACCTCAAAAAGTGCGGGGCCAGGCTGGGTCCCTGCTGCAGGGAGAGGATATATGCAAAAAAACTGGGGGCAGGACAAGATGAGGAGAAAGTAAAAGTAGATGCACAAAAGCACCCCATAAGGTGTCCTGGGAAAGTTTGAGCCTTGCTCTTCCTGTCCCCTCTCCTCATCACACAAGTCTCCTCTGCTCTGAATAAAGATTGAGAAGCAGCTTCTTCACCCAGGAAGAGTTACACTGGTGAGCTCAAAGCTCACTTCTCATTAGTAGCACAGGCAGCCCCTGCCAGCAGCAATCCAGCTCCCCTTGCTGGTGAGTGCTGAAAGAACAAGTTCCCAGGGCACTTTTTCTCCTTCTGGATAGCTTGCTTGCCCTGTGAACACATGAAGTGTACCTGTTGCTTGATGGAAATAACATCTACCAAAAGTATAAGTCTTAACTCAAAATCTTTGCTGTTGCAGTGTAATTGTCAGCTGTGTATGAGGCTTGGGCAAAATTAAGAAAGTGGGCTTGATTCACTGGTATAAATCTAGAAGTTACTAGAGTGGCACTGAGGGAAAATAACTGGGGTTATTGAAATGAAAACTGTGATATAATCCAGTTCCCTGGCTGGGCTGAGAAAAAGTGTGTGAAGTGAGAGCAAAGAATTCATGACCAGAATATGATTATCAGTGGGCGTGTCTACACACGTGCATTTACTGAACAGTAACTGAAATTACTGCACAGTACGGAAGCATGTCTACATGTACATGCTCATACTGTGCAGTAAATGTGGTGACTTATGCCAATTTGTGCATAGATTTGATACTTGTATTACTTAGTACCAGGTCAGTCCACTCACAGTGTTAATGCGCATTAATGCTTGCATGTGTAGATGCCAGCCTATTCCCACCTTCTGCGCAATAATTTACTGTACAGTAAATTTAAGCCAGCATAAATGCATGTGTAGACATGCCCAGTTACATGGTTTTCCACTTTGCATTTCCTGCTACTACCCTGCTGCTGTTAACATTCTGAAAAGGAAGGAAGGAAGGAAGGAAAAAGAATTGCAAAAGAAAAAAGGAATGTGTGGAAACAGGAAATATAGAATTGTATTTTGTTTTCTAGTTTACATTTCATATTTTTATCATAAAGTTTATTCTGCATTATGTGTTAACATTTTAGCAGTTAATACAACTTTTTCTGATGCATTATTTCCTCATTTAAGAATGTATTTAAAATGCAGACAAATTCTGAATCTATTATCTTACTTACTGTTTATTATTTTTATTATGATGTTTCAAAAATTGACGTTGAAGTCTTTCATTCAGTCCAAAATTGATTTAGGGGCTCAATAATGTATGTAGCAATGTGAGACAGTCAAATAAATTTGGAAAGGAACATTCCATTAGACAAGATCACAAATGTATAAAAACTTTCTGAAACCCTCAGAACATACGCTTAGGAATTCTTATGTTGAATCTGTAATTATATAATTGCACATTCACTAAATGTTTGTGGCCTTGAAGGGCTTTTTCAGCTTCCTGCCCACTCATCTCTGAAGGTGCTCCCAGGTCACTCAAATTCCCAGTCATATTCTGCTTTGATTTTTTCTTAATGTTTGAAGCTTGAAAAATTGCTCTGCAGCTTTGAATGTTGCAATTAGCAGATGTCTCAGAAGCAGTGCAGACAGCTAGAGGGTAATTTAATAATTCTGATTCAAACCAAACTGAATGAAGAAGAGAGTATGTGACACCCTTGTCATATTCATTGGGCCACTTTGCAAACCAGTGGGCAACACTGATTCACCAGTGGTGCATGCCTTAGACCCCCGGTTCATGCCAGAGGCTGGAGGAGGAGGTGGCAGTGGCAGAGGGAGTCTTTACATGGTCAGCCCTGAAGGGTGAGCAGGGGGAGAGGGGAGACTATGTAAACACTCCCTGAATCCATCATTCTTGATGGACAATTAGCTAGTAGCACATAAGGAACTACATTCACAACTAGGGGGCAAGGAAAGGTGGATCTAGATGATCTGTACAATGTGATGAATTTCTAAACTTCTGTTAACAATCAGCAGGATGATTCCTTCCATCTATTATTACTGACAATTTTTTTTTAAAAGGTTTCATTATTTAGCAGGGAAAATACTAAAGACCAGCTTCTGCTACAAGGAACTTCCCTATACTTACACTGATCACTGAAGGCCAAGGGAAAATTGTCACCCCAGCACTGTCACAGCAGTCCCAACACCTTTTCTTCCTGCCTTCACACAGCCTAGGAAGCAAGGCCAGACCACAAAAAGAAAGCAAAGCCATGTCCCCATGTACCAAGTAGCTAAGCTGGCTGGCCATCCCAGATACTTTATACTTCACAAAGAGGAATCTCAATGTGCCTCCTGTCTCTCTATGTCTTAGAAACTCCAGTAGCCATTCTGGTGCTCTTCCTATCTATTCTATGGATTGTATGTTAATGCCATGCTTGAACTGAAAGCTGAGCAGCAGTAAAAAAAATACTTCATGGAGGTTTTTTTCTTTTAATTTGTTTATGTTCCATTTTTATTTGTGGGCTTTTGCTTTTCTTTGGTGTTTTGCACCCATTGACTGATTTACAGTAGATATTGTCATAAGGGTCCTTTCCCTCATTTGCTGGGTTTCTGGTGGACTTGGATGAAGAGAGAGGCTGAAATAAAATGAATAGTAAGATTTAAAATATGTCTATACTACACTCTTGCTATGAGTGTCAGGCTATAACTAAATACAATAGCTCATGTACCCAAAGCAGTCTAGCCACAAGAGACAGGGAAGGAAACAAACAGCCTGGAGTAGTGGAAGAACAGGCTAAGGATTGGTTAGAGAAGCTGGAAATTTTCAAGGCAGCAGGACTGAATAGGATAGTCCCTAAGGTACTGAAGGAACTGGCTGAGGTAATTTCAGACCCATTAAGATAAATGCTCTGAGAACTCATGGAGATCTAGTAAGGTCCCTGATGAGAAACTGGGAAGAGAGCAGTGGATGTGATATAACTTGACTTCAGCAAGGCTTTTGACACAGTCTCCCACAATATTCTTATTACTAAGCTAAAGAAGTACAGATTAGATGAAAGTACTGTAAACTGGATACACATATTTACCCAAATCCAAGACAACTGTCAATTTAAGATGAGACATCCCCCCACCACCACCTTCAATAATTAGATTTTCTACATGGAAAATGTATAAACTTGTTACAATTTTCTGTGTATAGAATCTAATTATTGTAGGGTTGTCTTAAATTCATCCGTCCACTGCTGCAGTGGGGGAAGCAGTGGCAAGGGGACAGGTGATGGGACACAGGTGGTGCGGGAGAAAGTAGGGCGGCAAGCAGTGGAGGAGGCAGTAGGGGGCAGGCAGTGAGATGGCCGGGGGCAGGAGGCAATAGGTGGCAGGGGGAGGTAATAGAGGACAGGCAGTGGGAGGTCAGACAATGAGGGAAAGCGAGGGGTAGGTGGTGGGACAGGTGCGGGGCCTGTGAGCAATGGCCTCAAACTGCAGCCAAGGAAATTTAGGTTGGAGATTAGGAAGAACTTTCTAACTCTGAGGGTGGTTAAACCCTGGAACCGCCTACCTAGAGAAGTTGTGGAGTTTTCATCCCTGGAAATTTTCATAAGCGGGTTAGACTGGTATTTGACCAGGACGTTTTAGTCTGGGATGATCCTGGGAGGCTAGACTAGATGACCTCAAGTGGTGCCTATGATCCTAAAAACTCAGAGCTCCATGTCAGGTAATTTACTCTGCCTCCAAGCTACTTTGCTCTTCTCAACAGAAAAAAATTCTCTTATGTAGATTTCCACAGGTACTAGACTAAGTAGCTTTAGATTGTATCACAATGTAAAATATAGATATCCATAAAATATTCTTGTGTTAGGCAGACTGCCTCTTGACACTTGTAGGGAGGTAGATGTGGCTCTGTTAAACTTTAGATTATATTAATGTTTATTGGATTTTTAGACAATGTGGTCTCCCCTTATAACATCTGATCTCCTTTAATATTATGCTACACGCAAGCCTCCTGGTGCAAGGAAACATCATTAAAAAAAAACCCCAAAGTCTCTAATCTTTTGTGTAAGATTCCACTTTATTGAGTAAAACCACTAGAAGCAAGAAACATAATATCTACTTCTGAAGGTACCCACAAGGACTCCATTTTTCACTCTAAGAATGCTATTATACACACTGAATATCAAAACTTTATTCATGTCTGTATCACAGAATTCCACTGACATGGAGGAGGGCTCCATCTACTCACTGTAGCAAAGCACTTAACGAAAGCAATTATTCTTAGATGATAAAATCTCAGTTCTTTCATTATACCTTGTGAAACACCCATTAAAAACCTCAGATGTTTCAGAAATTAAAATGTATTAATAGGAATGTAATTAAGTACTTATTGCTTTTGTCATTTAAAATAAGTTAACCAGATGGCAAGAAAAAAATCTCAGAAAGTGGCTTTCAATGAACAATTTAGACTTAATTAATATACAGGACCTAGCTCATTAAATCTAAGTTAAATGTTTATTTGAGACAAATTGTAACCTCTGTTGTATTATAGTCTCCTTTTTCCTTGGCTGGCAAAGTGACAAATGACACTTTTGAAAGCTAACAAACAGTATTATAGGTTCTTCCTCTATAACCTTATGATCCCCTCCACTGCAGAAAAAGGACGACAGCAAGCAAAAGCAAATTGATATGCTAATGCCCCCAAAGCAGCAAAATGCATCATCCTTTCCTCCAAACCAGTAAAAAATCACCAACCTTTGTGCTTCTGTGAGAACCAAAGGAAATACTTTGGTAAGGAGCATTCATTCTGTTTAATGTGCCCATTTCTAGCACAGTGGGGGTCCAGATGGATATTGTCATGGTAATTTAAACTGCCACTAGTTAGAATAATACCCACTCCCCCTTCCTTGGAGGAAAGTTGCATGGACAAGGAAAGCAGAACTAATGCCAGTGGAAAGCTGGACATCATGACTGGCATAAAGCAGAGGTGGTGTGTCCTTTCTCTGAAGAACCAAGAATCCACAGAGGTCTCAAAAGACACACTTTCTTGTCCACAATCTCACTTAACTCCTAGTGGAAAAATTCCATGTATCCATGAGAAGAGTTTCACAGAAAATCTTGAACTTTTGCCTTCCTTGTTGTAGGTCTGCTAGGCAAGGGAATGAAGTAACCCACAAAGTATTACATTACAAAAATAAGTTACTAATAGAGGTACTGTTAGTCCTACACACTTAAATATCCACTGAGAACTGTCTCTTGTCTCCAGATGCTGACTTGTTACCTGGCCAATTCATTTTTCAAAAAAAAATCTCCTGAAATAATCCAATATGCCACTAATCACCTGCAGCCTGACACCAGGTCAACATGGAGATCATGCAATGTTAGGGAGTTTCTACATTTATATACCAGCACAAGGCCAAGCTTACATAAATATCAGAAAACGAGTCCTTAATGAGTTATTTAGTGGGTGCATCTACACAAGATGCTTTACTGCACAGTAGTGTAGTTTACTGTGCAATAAATATGTGTGTCTACACATGCATATGCTTACTGCACAGTAAACCTCACCAATCAAGAGTAAATTTGCTACCTGCAAATGCAAGTAGCAAATTTACTTTTGATTAGTAAGGGCACAGTAGCACTTGTGTAGATGCCTGACCTGGAGCAAATCCAGACTCCAAGCCCCCCACTCTGAGATTGCAATTGGGGAGTTGGGGCTGGAAGATGCTTATGTCCTAGTCCCCACTTCACTATCACGATCAGAGACCTGGGGGCTGGGGAACCCTTACCTCCCAGCCCAAGCCCCATGACTGTGGAGATCGGGCTAGGAAATAAGGCTTTCCCAGTGCCAGCCCTACAGTTGTAGATCTGGCACTGGGAGCGCTCTGCTAGCAGGGGCTGGGGAACCTGTTCCCTGCTCAGTTTTATGAGTGCTGGGTGGGGAACAGGCAAGGGAGCTCATGGAGCTAAACAGGAAACAGGCTCCCCAGCCTCGACTCCATAATCATGGAGCAAGGGCTAGTGATGGCATGCAGCTGCGGGCAGTGTCCTCAGAAGGCAGGGCATGGCAGGTGAGTGCCTGGAAGCCTCCTCCCCAGGAGAAGCTGGCACAGCTGGTGGCCAGTAGTCTCTTGGGTGGCTGCACTTCGTGGTGGGGGATGGGGCTACAGAGCTGGTGCAGCAGGTGCTGGCCCAGGCTCCCTAAGCTGCTGGTGGAGACTGTAGCTGGGGAGCTTGGTGGGATGGGCTGCTGGATGCCTGAGTGGCCCTCCCCTGGTGATGTGTCACCATGGGTACCAAGCCAGGGCGGGGACTCAGGCAGGCTACCTGTGCTGCTGTAGACAGCATGGCTGTGGCCTGGGTCCTGGGGCACAATAACATCTGTCATTGGCCACATAAAGGCCATGGACTTATGAGCACTTCCAGAATGAAAATTGTGGTTGTTGATGGCAACCTAATGTGCTGCAACACCTTGACCTTAATGCAGCATTGCCACGCTGACTGGTTGTGCCCACACTCCTGTATCCAGTCTGACAACCCCTCATAGACATGGGTCTTGGAGCACCCACCCAGCTCAAACTGGGTGCACTGCACCTCCATCTTGCCCCACAGCACCACAAAGTCACCAGTCTCCTTCTGCTACCATTTGGGGATCCGGATGGTGGGCACATGGATGGACACAGATGTCAGTGAGGATGAGGCCTTCTTGGGTCCCATGCCAGCTCTCTGGGCTGCAGTGCAACAATCCCTGTGTTGCCAAGTTGGGGCAGCTACCTGCAGCACCCAGTGCAGGGGCCCAGCATAGGAGTGACATCCATGTGGCTAACACAATGCCACACACCACCTGCAGGCTCAGACCAGAAGCTGCCTGCAGCTGGGCCTGGGTGCTGGCAGGCCTGGCTGGAGCCTGCAGCAGCCTGAAGACCTGGATATTGTGGGCCTGACAGGTGCGCAGCACTGTGGCACCAAGCAGTGGTGCCAGGATGCAGGCAGGCTGGTAAGGCTAGCCTGCAGCCTAAGGGACACAGGGCCTGGAGTTGACTTAGGCTGCCTGGTGGTGTGCCCCAGGGCTCAAAATGCCCACAGGCTTTTAAAGGCTGAGGCAGGGGAGGCCATAGAGGCAGCCCAGCCCTAGGACAGGAAAGGCTCACAGTCCAGAGCCCTGGGGCTTGCCTGAGGCTGGCCCCCTAGTGGTAGGGCTGACCTGGGAGTAAATTTGCTCCTGGGCCACATCTACATGTGTGTTACTGCATAGTAACTAATCACAAGTTAATTTGATACCTGCATTTGCAGGTATCAAATTTACTTGTGATTAGTGTTTCTTACTGCACAGTAAGCATGTGCATATGTAGACGCATGTGTTTACTGTGCAGTAAACTACACTACTGTGTAGTTATGCATCTTATGTAGACATACCCCTGTGCCTACATTTGCAGCTGCAAGTGTATTTTATTGTCTGTGACTGAGTGGTCTTACGGTATTTCTGTTTGTGTAGAAACACTGGAGGCTATACTGATTTTAATGACAGGCAGAGGGAGTGCAAAGAGATTGGTTGGTCCCTTCTCCCTCCCACTTCATGGAGTTTTATTTGTTTCTTTGCTTGCTTGCTTTGTTTTGTTTTATCTTGTTTAAAAAAAAACATTTCTGATTTTGAGCTGACAGCAGAGGAGAGAGACTAAAATTCTGAAGAAAGTCTAATAGTGTTTTTTTCCCCAACCCCATAAAAAATATGGAGAATCTTAGAACACGTTTTGAAGAGCTGTCCAAACTAATTCCTATATCTGTCTGATTCTGATACATCTGATTGAGGAAATCGTTTGAATCAAACTACTCTGATTTTCTGAGCCCACTATAAAGATAAAATATTTTCATAGTTTAAAATGTATTTCTACATATTGTGGAGAGGAGATGTCTGTATCAGCTCTGCCAGTCTGGGACAGAGATATCCATTAGTTACAGGCTGGTTCTAGGTCCATGGGATCTTCACTTGCACAAATCCACCAGCACAAGAGTCTTCTGCAGAGCATTAAGAAGGCAGAAGCCCTATTAGTGAATGTGGATGTGGTAAGGCACAACTTCATGGCCTGCCCATCAGTTGGGAGTCTGCATAGAAAGAGCACTGTTTAAAGTAATCATTGCTGTATTATTTGGAGACTTATATTATGAATGTTGTGATATCTATTGCATCTTGACACTAGACATGATACAAAAGGCGCAATTAAATTAGAACCAAAATGCAGTTGTTCCACAATGTACAATTCTAACTCTACTGCACATTAGCACATCCCGCAAAAACCATGTTAATGCACAGTAGATTACTCCAATGGGCATTAAGCATCACCTAAAAAGCATTCATCTGTGCTAATGCGCAGTAGCACTGATTATGGTGCATTAAGTTAGTACCTGTTATTATAGGTTTTAAATATAATGCACCATAATTATGGCATATTTATGAACATGTAGACATGCCCTCTAGATTTTATTAACATAGTTCTGAATTCATTGTTTGTAATTTATAGGAAAAGTGGTCTCTTCCTTTAAAATTCATTATTTCAGTGATTTCCTTGACAGCCCTCGGTGAAACAAAACCTAGGACACATCTAGATATATTACATTTTTTCTTTACCTGTCAGTAAAACACTATGAATTTTTATATTTGTGCATGTGTCAGTGAAAGGATCCCTGTGGAAAGAGCCTTTTTTAAACTGACTAATGGAAATTAGTAATTGATGTAAATAGCCTGTATCTACAGCTGACATAAAAACACCACGAGCATCTTAGATCCCAGCATGTAGAATTTGATAGGGCTAGGATGGAATAAAAGTATTTCTCCCTGGTGACAAAAGAATGTTCTGTGAAGAACATATGGATGTGTATTTAACTATAACATATTCCTATATAATTTGATCATTATTCTAACTTTCCCTTTCTAACTCAAGACTTATCAGCATGATAACAAAGTTTGCAAAACCTTCTTGGGTTCTCTTGAAATTATATCAGCCAAATTAAATCTATTGTGTTTTGAAACATTGTTTTTCCTGGTGTAGCATTAAAAAATGCTTCAATTTTTCCTCTACAAGCTAATTTATGTGGAAACCTCAGAACCAGCTTCTAAGCAGCTCTGAAATGGTGCTCATCTAAAGCAATTACAGCTTCAATTAACTGCAATTTAATCTGAGAAATGTCCCTGCTTGAAAAACCTGAAGATTTCCTTTTAATTCAAAAAAGAATGTCTGACTGCACTGTAAACAACGCAAACACTTTGAAATACTCATTAAATGCTGACAATGAAATAATTGAACTTTGACCCTCTTCTCTTCCAGATGTCAAGGTTGATGCCATATAATTCAAGTCTGTGTCCTTTTGTTTGTCTAGAAAATTATCATTTTTTTTTTTATATATCAAACTGCTACAAACAAATGAGTTTGAATAAATAGGATTTCTAAAGCACAACCTCTTCCCTGCCCATGGAGCTTGTCATGGAGTTTGAAGAAAAGGCAGTGAGACTGGCAAAGACCTTTTGCATCTGAAGTTTAATAAAGATTTTGACTCAAAAGAATTATCATCTGAGAAGACTAACGCAAAATAAATCCAAGAGGCACCCAAGTAAGGCTCAGTGGGCAAAAAAGAAAATAGTGAAAGCATGAACCAAACAACAAGACTGTGTCTTTATTATATATATTTAAATTCAAGTAATTAACTCCCAGATCTGAACACATAGGTTAGTCCTACTGAATCAGTATTGTGTGTGCATGTATGTCTGGTGAGCATAATTGATGCAATTGCTCCACTTTACCATTTGGTTTCTTTCTAAGATGACAAAAAAAGGGCAAATGTTCTTTCTTAGGGAAACTGTGCTAACTACAAGACAATTATGTGCTTTCCCTCAGAAGTAGGCTCAAAGATCTACATAAGTGGCGTGAAAAGCCACCTATTCCACAAACTTTTGCTGTGTAACTACTACTTACCCATCTAAAGATGGAAATGGGTTTGGCACTTCTGCCTTACAGTACACTTCCACTTTCCGATGGATGATTGTAACTTTTAGAATCTGAATCTGTTGCAAATTCTCAAAGAATTCAAGCATTGTGATTGTTCTGCAGTATCCACTTGTTGTTTTGTAGTGTCACTGAATGTTTCTTCTGGTATAATTGTTTATTACAATATTTGGTGGGGAAAAATAACAAAAAGGTAAAACACCTAGTGCAAGCAAATTTATTAAAAATTTGAAATATTCTCAATTCTTGAAGTATTTTCCCACCTGTAGTTAATATACATTTTTTCTAACAAATGTCTGTGCTGCAGGTTTGAGTCTCAGCTGGTAAAAGCCAATGTGGCTTGTATTAATTCAAGGGAGATAAGCTAATTTACTCTAGCTGCTGGTCTGGGGCACTAATTCCTTAGCTATATAACTTAAAACACCTCACGCTGATTGGATTTATGGTTAATTGATTGGTAGTTTTCTGTGTCTACCTTCCTATCTTACTTAGAGAGAGATTCTATATTTGCTTTTTCGTGATGAACTGTTTGTGACTTATTTTCCTGTAGGTTGTTTGCACAGCCTGCGAGGCTTCTCTATGAGAGATTTTGTAATACTTCTCTCAAGTGCACTCTCTCCAGAGCTGCAGTTTGATATCTACTTAGTATGTCAGATCTTTTTTTTCCACCTCTGCCTAACCTTTGCTCTTTGCTTCTCCAATTACTACTTTTAATAATCTTCCTGCTTACTTCATAAAGCTCCATGGTTCCTCGTTATCCTATATATTGAAAGCTGAGCAAAAATACCTATTTTAAATTTCTGTGACTTCAGAATACTAACATACTTGCTTACCTTTTTCATTTGGTAGCACATCTATCTTATGTCCTAATTTTTCTCTTTCAGATTGTTTTCACAAAAGTCTTAATGTTTCCCTAGGCATTTCTAGCTACTATCATTCTCTTTCACTCTTTTTACCACTCTTATTTTGACCATACATACTGTGGACACATTCCCCACATACAGGGGCATACACTTTCAGTGGCATAGAAGTAGACACACAAATTTGTGCCACTACTTTTTGCCACTGTGCATGTCTCTGTATGCGGGCTTTCGTGGAGGGTAAAATGCCCCACTTCAGGGAAACTGATGTTTGGTCAATTCTTTCATCTCCCAGCATGCTGAAGAAGCCAAGGCAGAACTAGAGGAGAAGAGAGAAGGGCAAAAAAATTGCAGTCACAGAATCTCCTGGGAGGACCAAACGTCTGTATCCACTCGTGCATGCTTCTGTGGTGTGCACCACACCACTTTTTTTATGACATTTTATTTTGCTACCAGGATATACCAGTAGTAAAAATTGCCCCTATGCTGTGTAGGGCACATTTTAACATGTGATTTGTGGCACCACAGAGATTTGCAGTGCCACAAACTGCACGTGCCTGGATCCAGCCCATGTGTTTATTCTGTGGTGTCTCTTTCTTTTTCTATGCCACATATAACATTGGCTTTGTTTCCTTCTTTCCTTCAGCCCCATAAGCTGTTTAAATATTACGTGTTTACATTTTATTTCTAGTTTTAACTTTTGGGCTTCTGGTATTCTGGTTTTAAAAACTTTTCTCCCTTTTCTTTCATGTTCCCAGTTAATTATGTCACTCATGTCGAACCATCCAAGTTTTTCTTCAAAATTTAAAAATGTACCAATCAGGGTAATGATTTTTTCTGTCTTAGAAATGAAATCACTGTCTGGACTACATGTACATTAAGCACTCTCTCTAAAATGCTATTACAAAATATAAACAGAACAACTGGCGATGATCGTGTCTATTCTCACTGATTCCTGGCTTCACATTAGTTCCACCCTTCTCTTCCTGTCTTTCAGTGATGCTTCTGATGTAATTTCCTTCCAGGAACTACCTCTTCTAAAAATGTGCTTTCATACCTGAACTTTCCATCTTTCCCTTGGTCTTCACCTTGGGATACTGCCCTCAGTATACATCCTCAATGCATCCTGTCCTCATATGCATTTTTTCATGAATCCAAGCAGCTCTGGCTTTTAACTTGGGCATCCCATCTCATAATTTAACATCTCATCATCACTCTTCACTCATTCTCAACTTCAAGGAATTCACCTAAAAAAAAACCAAACAAACTTATTTCTGCAGTTTGCAACCATTAAAATCCATATTTCTGATCCACATGATGGATTTCTCGTACAATAAACTCTGTAAACTGCTAACTTAACTTTCCTAACAACATTTCTGCCTCACATTAAGCCCCTTTAACAGTTTTGCTTGCTGCAACTTGCAACCTTCATATCAGTTCTTCTCAAATCCTTCCATTACTTGTGAATATTCAACCAAGCTATTTAAATCTAAATTTAAATGTTCTCTTCTTAACATCTATTGATGTAATGCCTTTTCCTTGCTACAGCAATTGGTTTATCTTTAAGTTCTTCACCCCCCAATTTCTTCTGTATTCAGGCTTCACACATCAAGAAAGCATTGTATTTCTTCCATGTTTCACCCCAAGTCATTAAGAGCCCTGTATTCATTCTTGCCCAGGGCAGGGGGTCAAGCTAGATGATCTGCTCAGGTCCCCTCTGACCCTACTTCAATGAAACTATGAATATCATCAGTGAATAACATGGTCTTCCCAGTGGACACATCTACATGTTCAATTAACTTGAAGCAATAAACTCCAGATCAGTTTGAACCAGAGTAAATTAGTTCTGGATGCAGCATCTACACATGTACCTGGGACAGAAGCAATTTGAGCTGGGGTGGAGCAGTTTACACCAGAGATGAGAGCACAGTGGTCAGTCCCAGGCTCCAGGTGGTGGCATCAGGTAGCAAAGCGGCTGGCTGTGGCAAAAGGGTGCTGAAAGTGCAGAGCTGTGTGGCTAGGCAGCAGGCAGGAATCTTGCCCCCTACTGGCTGGGTTGACCAGGCACAATTTATGCCCACAGTCAGCATCTAATCGGCACATCCACACATGCAGGCACATGTGGATGGCAGCTCAAATAGAAGCTGTGCAAATTTGA